ACACAAGATGGTCCCCAAGATGTATATTCCCTGATCAATTTTGGGGGATGTCACCACCCCTTATTTTGGAAATGAATCTATTAATTTTTAGGGGTAGTTAATATAATGCCTTTAGGACATTTTGAAAAGGTTTTCACAAATAGATTCAAATTCAAAAATTTGTTTTTCTTGAGTAGCAAAGTAGTCTACAGTTGGTCCATGTATTATTTTCAGTAAAACCATTGAATTTTAAAAAATTGCAAGTTTAAGATGTTTTTGACATCCTTCTGTAATTACTTTATTAAAGAAAGATTTTTATTTCTTTATTATTATTTTTTTTTTAATCTTTCAGTAAGAATACAGCACAAAACAGTGAATTGGCAGAAAGCCATTTTAGTTTAAACTTTTGATCTTCAAAAATTATTTTTCTTTTTTTATGTTGCACATCATTTGGTTAGGAGTTTTTCACATGATGGCTGAAGTGTCAGTAGGATACAATTTTCAATATTATATTATGTAACTGTTACCCATAATACAAGAAAGTATGTATTATTGTAGCACCATTATTTGTGTTTGTTATTGTCTGGATGATTCTCATTTGTACTTAAAAGTTTTGCTTTGTCTCTCTGGTGCTTGGAACCAGACTATTATTCCATACTTGAGGACTGAGTAAACATTTGCACAATACACTGTCTGGATTGTTTCAATGGTGCTGTTCCTTCTTATTCTAAAAGCATAATTGAGTTCAATAAATTACTAGTTAATAGCTTCTATGTGGGAGTTCTACTTATGATTGGATTCAATGGCGATTCCGTATTGTCTTCTAGTGTAAAAAACAAATAATTTTTTTGGTTCTCACCATCAGACATTTGTTTGGTTTTTAATTATGCAGTGTATTGTTTGTAGTAATTTACAATTCGAATACAGCAAAAGTGTTGTTTTATTAAACTGTGAAGTTGTCTTTTTCTGACACAAAACACTTTAATACCATTTATCTATGTTTGCTGCTTTGATATTTGTCTTCTGGTATTGTAAGGGAAGTGAGGTATTGAAATAGTGTTTTATTGTATTAAAATAAGTTTTAAAAATTAGGTTGAAGGTATAGTTTTCCTATGCCACCGACAATTATCTAACATTTCAGTGAATTGAATTCAAGTTCTTTAAATTGCGTTTCCTAGTCTTCTTTATTGAGTTTATTTTCAGAGAGGTGGTATTTGTTTTAAGTGTAAGCATTTGAACAGTAACCTAAGAACATTATAGGATGTGATTGTACAAGTGTGTTTTGTTTTGTCTAAATGATTTGGTTGATTTCTATTTGGAGTTCTTGAATTGCCTCTTGGTGTATCTATTATTGCATCAATGTTATATGAGCATAGAAGATGATTAGTTTGAAATTTTCATGAACAATGTTGGCTGTTGGTAGGAAGTTAATGTTTATATCACCACAGACTATGATAAAAGTTACAAGCATGCTTTGGCAAGTTTCTTAAGAATATTAGAAAATTTCCATCAGATACTCGGTAAAGGCTAAGGAGGTACATATGTTACATTTGAATTTCTAACATTACGCTTTCTACGTTTGAGTTGCATGTTAAATAGTTGAGTTACGTTACTTCTTTGCTATCATTGTTACTGTATATACGTGTGTCTCCAAATGTATGACTAATGTTGGTGTGTTTGGCCTTTTGACACAATAATCTGCTAGGTAGAAGCGTGGAATTCATGCCATTTTAACTCAATCTTTGATAAGCCAGTATTCAGACAAAAATAGCCAGTTGTTTATTTTAAGAGGTATTCTAACATAATTTCTATTTCACATATTTTGTTTGAAAGGATATAATATTTTTGTGTAGTGTCTTAAAGGTGATATTTTTCTCCGAGGTTATTCGCGTAAAAGTAGTTGACTGTTACAGGTCCAACTGCTGGATATGTTTAGGAGTGGCTTGTAGGTTGTAACACAAGGATCAAGTGGATGTTGAGAGTTGGTTTCGGGAGAGTGAACCTTTTGCTGCTACATCAGTTTATGGAAGTGGGAATCATGGGATCAGGGTATGAGGCTGAACAGGAGGAAGGAGGAGCTGGGGTGGGTAGAAGTGAAGGGAGCAGGAGTTAGAGCTGGCAGGCAGGAAGCAAAAGACGGAGCAGAAGTGAAGAAACTGGGACAGGATTGTGATGGAGGGATCTGGTGATGGGGGTGATGTGGAAGCAATACCTAAGATATGTTAGCTTTCTTACATCTTAGTGTGTGTTTACCAGTGTGTCTCAAGTGGAGACCAGGCTATTGAATAGTTTCTCTGATCAATATAAATACTACTATATTATAATATGCAAGTACTCACTTATTTGATTTTTTTATTAATTTTTTATTACTTATTCTATGATTATCTGACCTCTTTATTGTACCAACAATTCCCCAGTTCCATGGGCAATGGTTATAAGTGGTTCTACTGTAATTTTGTGAGTCCCTCAGATGGTGTGCAAGTTTATTGTCAGCATTTTTAATCATGAGTCACCGATTCTAACATGCAAATCATATCTGCCATATGGGCATAACACCTGTTAAAGCAATTTTGGATGAAAAAAGCTCTCAATTTGGAGAGAGCTTTTTCCTCCCATGGCTGTCTGCTAATACTACAATGCATAGGTACTTTATGTTTCTGAGAGAGCATTATCTCTATGCAAGATGTACTAGTCCATTGCAAGTGTTAGTTGTTTTGTTTGAACATTGCAGCATGTGTTTTGTGAGCCTCTTCATGTAGAGGTTTCAAAAATAGTAGGAGAGGGCTGGGGAGGAGGAAAAGCAGGATTTTCAAGAAGGTAGAACCTGTTGCTCAAAGGGTGAGCATACATACATTGGTTGTGACAAAAGTGAGTAGCTAGTTATGACTAAGGGTTTGTTTGTTTTGGTTTAGAAACTATTGTCCAACTTCTAGTGTTCTGAAAGACACTTTCCAGCCAACATATTTCAGATTCAATCGCATATATTTGTAGATATGCAGCTTCCACATGTTTATAGGCTCTCCATATATTGGAATCAAGTTTAAGAAGGGTGACGCATGTCTGGGCTGGTTTTATGTTTAGAATAAACAAGGGATTTAATTTAATATTTTTTCATGAGTATTAATATTACTATTACTGTCCGAAATTATCAAGTATATAACAAGTCTTACGTGGTGTACAATGCATAGGTTGTTATTAGTTGTGACTTTTTTTACAAGTGAGTGTTAGAGTAAGAGGTTAGTAGCATGCATTTTGTTTTTAGAAATGTCACATGCACATTTGAGTTTACTTTATATGTACACACTGTACTAAAGATACTACACACTACTCTGATATAAATTAGATATATACTAAACAAAATGCAAGGCACCCTCAATGTACACACAAGTGATGGACAATTACAGTCCAGGTGAGGTTAACATGACTTATTTGATGAACTAGTTAATGAGGGTTCGGCAAATGAGTCATTCCATGGCAAATGGTCCAATTTTAGAGAAGTGTACCTCATGACTTCATATTTTGATGAAATTTTGTATGCAGAGCCCTTCATGCCTCAAAGGTAACTTTGTGAAGTTGTAATGTCATACATGGAATAGCTTTCAGATATAGTTTGACCTCATGCAATGTATTTGAACAGAATGACTATAAAATTTTTGCAATTTTGGGATAGTTTTTTCTTCACTGTGATTGCTAAACAAATGAAACTGAGCTTTCTTGTTCAAATTTTTCTACTCATTTCAATGAAACTAATATCAATTTTGCCTTCATTAACACACAGTGGGTTCATAGCAGTGAAGTCACTGAAAGAAATTACTGTTAAAAAAATTTCAGATTTTAATATTGAATAGCTTTCTTAATATGAATAAGAAAAGTGAAACTGGCTCATAACATATCAACGTCACATTGGTTCTTTACACAAAATTTCAATCATCTGAAATTTTTTGTAACTCTAATTTTGACAAAAGACAAAACTGATATTAACTTCAACAGTGTGAAGAAAGTTGAACAAATAAGCTCAGATTCACTTCTTTAGCAATAATGGCGAAAGAAATATTGTATCTCAAAGATGCGAAAATCTTATAGTCGTTTGAACGAGGCTGACCTAGGTCAAACAAATTGCTGTATCTCAAACACTTTTTCATTTATGAACCTACAAACTTCACCAATTCTTCACCAATCAAAGGTCTTTGAGACATGTGGGACTCGCCATACAAAATTACATCAAAAGATGAGATGGACATGCAGAGTGCCCTAGTGGAGTGACTGAAATATATTTATTAGATTACTATATGACAGCACTCTGCACAAGATTTATAATAGCAAATAATAAATGGGCTTCAAAACAGTATAAAAATAATAATATATACAAAACATAAATGTAACATCATTCACTAGGATCACTAAAAAACAATCATAATAGCTGTGGAGAAGTATGATGCAGATGCCAATAGTGAGGTTCATTGACTTTTATTATTTACAGCCATATGTATCTGGAAGCAGTGCAACTACTCTTTCCCACTGATTTGTGTTGTGTCAAAAGCAGAGTGGAGTCTTATGTAAATCTTATATAGCAGAGGATACACTACTGAACCCTCTAGGGGCCATGAGATAAATCCTAATGTACATGATCATACAGGATGTCTGCAACACTGCCCACAAAATGAAAATGATAATTTTGTACATAATGTAATGTGTCAAAATAATAATTCAGCAGGAAAAGGGAAAAACCAAGAAAAATGTTGATACCTTATTTTGCAGCAATTTATGGTATTTAAATGCCAAATGATAGATTTTAAATGAATTAGTGAATTTTTGTAAGGTATGGTTAAGGACTAATTAATTAATTAAGGTTTAAGGAAAGTAATAAAACCTTTTTTTTTTATTATTTAAGTTCAAAAACTGAAGAGCTTGATGCCTATTAAGTCCAGAAACACACTTTTAAAATTAATGTTAAATAACAAAGTTTGGCATTGACTGAAGGGGTATATTAAAAAAAAAATAATAATAATAAAAAAAAAGTAAGGTAATTGAAGTGAACGATTTCTCTAACTTTTATATGTTTCATTTATGAATATCGGTCATAAAATTTTAGATTTAGGTTTCAAAATTAATAATTAAAAATTATATAATAATTTTGAATTGCCTGGCTTTTTCACCAAATGTTTAAAATTTTGCACATTTCTTTGGTAAATCATTATGGACTAAGTAATATAAAGAAGAAGAGAAATATAACAAGAAATAGACATCTATCAGGAACTATCAAAAATCTTGCAGAATTTTTCACATGTGGATCATATTGTGTTATCGAAGCAAACATTTTTACATTGACAAATATTCAATTCCAAGTTCTCCTGTATTACGTGTACAAAGTAATATACAGTATTCATTTTAGTCTGTAACTTCTTATTCAGAATCTCCCAAGATTTGTTCACCAACTTCATTGGCAATACTCTAACAATAATGCAGTTTCTTATATTTTACTTTTATTTTTAATTGTCACATTTTTTACAACAATGTCTCAAATAGGAGTCCATGTCTAGTCTGATTCTTACTTTAAAGACAACCTCAATCTTTGTTGGCAAGTAATTCAGATACATTTTATCTCAATCACATAATTTGAGATGACTGGTTTTCGCACCAAAAGATGCGCATTGATCTGTTATGTATTCTGCATACTCAAAATCATTTTTAACCAAACTTGGACTTATCAGGTTTTTGCACCAAACCCCTCAATTATTACTGAGAGCTTATGACTGACACAAATAAAAAGAGAATAGAAGAGTCATGCAGGGTGTCTGGTACACCCACAACTACAGTGATATTACTTTTCAGAAAAATTGGCACAGTCAAATTTTAACACACTCCAGCAAAAGAGACCACAATATCTTTCTGAAAAGATACTATGTGAAGATGCAACTATGCAACACAGTTTTCTCAGAAATGTAGAATTCATAAACGGAGTGAATGAAGCCTGACCCACTGTTTAAGGGTCAAGAAGATTTAATAGGAAGAATAAATATCTCTATCATAAAACAGAATAAGTGACATTACACTCATATTAGAAAACAAAAAGTATGTCCTAGAGAATCACATTTTCTTTAATATTTCTCGGTATTTCATAATTGTATATTTCCATTTTATATGTAAAAATTATTTATCATTGGTTTTACCCATTTTTATTTATCACTGGGGTTAATCTCAAATTAAGTTATACACACAATGAAAGGAGGATAGTATAGGATTGGTAGCACTTCCAAATAACTTAATCACACCCACACCAATTTCCAATAAAATAAAATATTCTAATATGTCCACACTGAATATAAAGAAAAGAAGGTAAATACAATAAATTAAAAGTGGACATTCAGTAGAGATATTTAATTCTCTTCTTTGACGCAAATCTTCAGAAAAACTTTTGCCATGAATTTCAATTGCATTTTCGGCAAAGCTCCATGTACTGCATTTTCAGCATGTATACACATTCATTAATGTTGTCACAGCATTTGTCTGAAAAAGAAAATAGAACGTACAAATAGTTGACCTTCATTTAACACTACAAAGAACAGGCCAAAGTGCATATTATCTTTAAACAAGAGCAAAGGAATACAGTAAAATCAGTGGGCAGGCATCATACATTAAAGTATATTAACTTCCACAGTCCATTCTCATCACCCTGTCACCTTATTGGATAGACAATTATATTAGAAATATGTTTGGCACAGAAAATATCTTCCACCAACCTTGTTACAGTGTAACTTGAACAATTTAAATTAATTTACACTGTCCAAATTCTCAATTTTTGTGTGAGAGTTGGAGAGTGTGAGAATGTGAGTGTTTGTGTGTGTGTGTGTGTGTGTGTGTGTGTGTGTGTGTGTGTGTGTGTGTGAGTGTGTGTGTACACGGAGGGGAAAAGGAGATTTTTGCATCGCGGAGAAGGAAAGGATGGGGCCCTTTTTCGCACTTCAACGCGAAATAGTTAGCGGGAGTCCTTCTCGTAACTGCTCCTCGAAGCGGAGCAATCTTCCCCCCCCAAAAAAACAAAAAAAAAAAAGGGACTTTTGCGGGCATAGGTGGCTACCCGCACTCCAATATCTCTTGTGTCAGCAGCATTCTAGTGACGATGGTCTTTCAGGGGTCACTTCCTCTTGCAAGGAGTCGTGTGAAGTTCTTCCTTGCCACTGCGAAGCGTGGACAATGAAAGAACATCGTGTTCTACATCTTCCATCACCGGGGAACACCTGGGCATGAGGAGCTATCGTCCAACGGAAATCGAGCTGGACTACTGTCGTAACATCCGTGCTCTGTCAGCCATTCTGAGTTAGATAAAAATTAATTCTCTCATGTTCCTTTGAATCCTCCACGTCAATGATGTGCGGGGAATGACGCCAAATGTCGCATCGCCCAGTTGAATGATGCTCCCATCGACGTTGCCATTGGTCCATTGTCACCCCCTCTCTTCTTTCGTAATGGTATTCCGTTTGAAGGCCCCTCCCTGCTGCGCGATATTAAGAGTGTGTCTGTGTGTGGTGAGTGAGTGACTGTGTGTGTGAGTGAGTGTCTGTGTGGTGTGAGTAGTGTCTGTTGTGTGAGTGAGGTGTCTGTGTGTGTGAGTGAGTGTTTGTGTGTGGAGGTGAGTGTCGTGTGTGTGAGTGAGTGGTCTGTGTGTGCTGTGATGAGTGTCTGTGTGTGTGCTGTCTGTGTGTGTGAGTGAGTGTCTGTGTGTGCGAGTGAGTGTCTGT